CCCCCCACACCTCTCCCCAGCGATGAGTTAGAAAATATCTCGAGAATTTTGAGGTCATTTTACTGATGGGACCAAATGAGATTTTTTTAGCGAGTAGTTACTACAAAAAAATTTTTTTTTGAATTCATCCGATCTCTAAGTACCATTTTTTTTAAGGTCCGGGGACGACAGCGATTTCGCCACCTTCACGTATAATCTTGTGATGCTTGCAGGCGTGGTGGTGCTTGCGTTTGCAGTTAGATTTGTCATATTAGCGGCTCAAGACGAAAATTGATTTCGATAAAAAAAAAGCATGAACTGAATAAGAAATTATGATTTTTATTTGTTGCTGCATCACAATCTCGACATTTTCGTCGAAAATCATGATTTCGAATTTAATTCATTCCAAAATCCATTGTCTAAATTTCTACTTCGAATAAAAAATGATGACGAGCTGTGCAAATTAGTAAGCAGCGATGCCTGATAGCACACTTATGTATAAAAATAGCAATTAATACTGAGAGGCAATAGCATTTCAGTTTTTCAAGAATTTTTCGTAAGTTTTTACGCATTCATAAGTATTCTGTTGATTTATTTCTGTTAGTGAATTACTCACTTATTTTTTAATTGTATTTTTTTTTAAGATAATTTTTCTAATTTTCTCAAATGTGTAAAGCAGGTACGCTGACCTATTCTTTTTTCGGATTTTAAGATTATGATTTTCTTTCGTTTCTTCCCTTTGTAATGAAAACTCAAGTTTGTGCAGATTTTGAGATGTTTTATTTTGTACGGTGGTAACAATAGCTCGATGCGGTGCGTAGCTAGAGGGGCCAAAAACAAAATTCTACTTTCTTTGAGAGAATTAGGTAATCAGAAGTAGTCCGAGTGGTAGCACGTGTCAGTAGTAACTGCCTTTCCGAATAACTTTCGATGGCTCCCTTTTTTGAGTGTAGTTTATAAGCAGAATTATATCGGTTTTAATCCTCGAGCACATGCCAGTACCAATTTACCGTCGGAATGAATGAGCAAGTTATGGAGGAGTTAGCAAATCAAATAAGTATTTGACTCGAAAAACATGTAAGCTTGCATGAAGTCATTCTAAAAAATTCCAAAAATCTTCAGGAAAGCTAAAACTCCGTTGTTTTTTGAGCTTTGTCATGCATTCCGATGCTGCTTTTGTCAATTACTCAAAGAATTAGTCTGGGACTGGCAGAGCACTTAATGTTTGTTGGTTGATTCTAAGGGGCCAGTGCTTGTGGGTAACCGATTGATATTCGTCTTTGAGTTCATATTTGTCTGTAATTCATTATCGGTTTCGTCCGAAACGCATTTCTTTAAACATGTAAAAATGATTGTGCTTAGCTGTAACACACTTGAATTAACTGTATTTTGTAGTCTGTTTCCCCAGCTGTGCATAGACGAGTCCAGGGCGGACTTCTGGAAGAGAGGGAGGAGGTGGGGAGGGAGACGACGGGGGTAGGAGAAAAGCGGGGCTCCTAGGTGGGTGGGGGGGATGGCGATGAGGGTCGGGGAGGAGAGCCCCCTCCCATTCTGGAACTATACAGAAACTAGGAATAGAGTTGTAACACACTGCTACTTAGAGTTACTTTAGGCTTTAGTTTACTTTAGTCTTAGCTTTAGACCGGGGTTTCGCCCCCCTCCCATCCCTTCTCCCGTCTCGCCCCCCCCCCCTCCTCCCTTCCCTCCCCTTCGTCCACTGGGGAGATGTGTGACTAAGAACCCATGCAGATATGTGACTAAGAACTCCAGTTGCTTTGACCAGTCCTGCATCAGCTGATGGTCAGTTTGCTGGCAGTTCTGACGTTCTCTGCTTCTCCTGAATGATTTTACAAGTGTAGCGTTTTCCCCAGTAGAAGCTTTTAGTAACAGTTATGCGATGTTAAAATGTG